GACGTGATGTGGCATTGTGCTACTGCTGCTTCTATCGCTGACACCCTTGGCTTCCGTTGCTGATGAACGCCGTCTCGCTTTGTGGAGGCTACAATCTCACACACAATGAGACTTCAATCGTCAGGAAGTGGGTGGAGAGGTGGTTTAGATGAATTTGAGTCCTGGTGCCTATGATTTCTTAGTTCAATAGCTCGGCCTCCTACATGATGAGGTACTGGACGGTGGCCGTGTGCCCGGCCGCGGCGGTATGGTAGAGCGGCCTCCGGTCCTCATTATCCTTCGCCTCCTTATCGGCCTGCTGCTCGACGAGGTACTAGACGACAGCCCTGTGCCCAGCCGCGGCTGCTCCACGATCTTTCTCTCTTTACACTGTCGTGTGACATGTCCACGAGTACATTGGCCTGTGCGGCAGCTACATTTGCAGTTCCATCCTTGTTCCAACCCATCTACACATTTCGGAAGTGTCGTGGTGGTGTGGAGCTTGGTAAGTTAGGTGGTACTTGGGCGGTCAGTGAACAATACGTGTAAAGACAGCTAGGTTAAGTAGGCGGTGTAAAGGCGGTGGGCAGGAGACAGTTACAGTCAAAACCCAACAAGGAAGACAGTACGAAGACGGTGGGCAAGGATACTCAGAATGGCCAATCTAGGTAGACGGTGTGCTAGGCGGTTGGTGAGAAGACTGGTATTGTTCTAGGCCCATCAGGAACGCGGTGAAGCGTCTTACAAGCGTAGTGTGAGAGCAGAGGGTGCAGGCAGGGTTTGCAACCTTCAGGGGGCCCGGCCGGCCGAGTTTGTACTGTACAGTAGATGGCGAGAGAAAGTTGCCCTCTCGAGGACCTTGGTTTAGAAGAACCAAGGTGAGGTTGGGGGCATGCGCTAGGCCACAACCTTATCTTATCTATCTACATCAATCTCCTTGCTTCCACACTGGTATCACTATTTTCTCTTTTGTAACTCACTGCTTCTTTACTATTGTCGGAGTAGGATTAATAATACTTAGGAACTACTCTTAAGCCAACGGATAGGCCGATCTCCATCCCAACGAGGGCTGCCAAAGTGTAGTGGATTGACCGGGTAGGTAGTATTGAGGCGATAAACAAAACATAAAGAGGATGGCTAAGTGAAGTAGGCGGTGTAAAAGGCGGTGTATAAAACGGTGGGCAGGAGATAGGTTACAGTTCTTGGAGCAAACAGAGCTTGGATATGTAGCTAACTTACCTAAGTAGGCGGTGTGCTCGGCGATGGGTGGGAAGAGTGATACTGTCGTAGGCTAATCAGGAAGGCGGTGAACTGTCCTTCACTGTCTGACGTATCTTATGATTGCTTGATTCAGGGCCCAGGAGTCCTGACGGACTCCTGGGCTATTGTACGGCCCGCCGCAGGTTACGTATCCTGAGTTGGGGTATAGTCAGGTTATGGATTTTGTGGAGGATGTATGGAAAGAAGAAGGGGATGAGCTGAGGAGTCCCAAGATGCACGGGTACCCCAAGGAAAGGGCGCCTCCACGGTTCTGAGTTGGGGAAACGTGCGCCTTGGCACCTGGCGAAGCCAAAGCAATGGCGACATCACAACTTTGGGGGGCTGAAAACTCTAGATTGCTAATACTGACAACATGGCCCGCGATGCCCGTTTTGGCGAACATTTGATCTTATCAGCGTTTGCGCACA